CTTTCACGGGGCGATTGGACGCGCAGGTCATGCTGACCGGACGCAGGCCCCCAGTGTTTGGTCATGGATCTTCATCCACGTGTCCCCCGGATTCAACGTCAGCCGCTTGATCCCAACGGTCGATTCTCAGTGCCCTCGTGGTTAAGTAATGACCAAACGCGCTAGTCTCAAGACCGGATGCACCAATCAGCATCAAGCCCCACGTGCGCACGCCAAGGCCATAGCATGACCGAACGCGCTGCTCCACTCGGCTTCTCAACGTCAGGTCACTTCCAGTAAGCATCCAGAGCTGATTTTTCTCGACTAGACGCGTCAGGTCATGCATGACCAGACGCGTCGGTGAGTCCGATCACCTCTTCCTCGCTCTGATGCTTGTGTTAGCGTACGTCACAACCTGACCAGACGTGGGCCCTACGTGTCTAGTCACAAACACTGTTTAGCGTCCGGTCGTTCACAGAAACCAGGCCATCACTGCCCAACACTGACCGGACGCAGGCATAGAGTCCGGTCGCTGCGAGAGCAGCATCCGGTCACTGTTTTCTAGTGACAAACACCTCCTTCACTTCACCAACTTCTCCACCCTTGCTCAAATGTGCCAACCACCAAGTGTATCACCTTATGCACGTGTATTAGCATGTTTTCACAAATATTTTCAAGGGTGTTAGCACTCCACTAAATCCTAAATGCATATGCAATGAGTTAGAGCATCTAGTGGCACTTTGATAACCGCATTTCGATACGAGTTTCACCCCTCTTAATAGTACGACTATCGATCCTAAATGTAATCACACTCGCTAAGTGTCTCGATCACCAAACCAAAAAGCTCCTATGAAAATCACCTTTGCCTTGAGCTTTTTGTTTTTCTCTTTCTTCTTTTCCAAGTCCAAGCACTTGATCATCACCATGTTCACACCATCATCATGATCTTCATCATTGCTCCATCACTTGGAATAGTACCACATATCTCATAATCACTTAGATAAACTAGGTTAGCACTTAGGGTTTCATCAATTTACCAAAACCAAACTAGAGCTTTCACTTGCCCCCTACTCCATCTCCCCTATAAAAGGACCCCCTGGCCCTCTTAAGAGAGGCATCTCTAGAGAAATCCTCAATCCTCAATTCATGAGAGATCATGAGATCAATATCAAGACACGCTAGGAGGAATAGGTCTATAACTCTCTAATGTAGTAGATTATTATCTTGAGAGTTAGGGTCGAGTGGACTCATGTATAGATTCTGGATCTAGTCTCAGAGGCTTGGTAAGCCATTGTATCTACACTTTCAGATCTTATGAGACTTCAATGCTTACATGTTATATTCTTATTTACAAGGTTATGTTTATATGCTTAGAAGTAGTCGGAGTTAGCATTATGTTTACGCATAGGATCGCAGAGCGCTTAGCCTAGCTTTATTCGAATGGATTCAGTAGCAGACTATGTGTAAGCGTGGTGCTTATACACAGTAGTGCCTACGGATGCACCCTACATGCCAGAACGTGCGGTAGACCAAGTAGAGTGACAGCTACGAGGTTCTCTGTAATCCACCTCCCATATGTAGGACTAGCAGGACCCGGTTGCGAGGGAAGAGATATGTTTAGCCATGCTCTTCATTAGTGATGTCCCTTATGCATGAATATAGAGTTAATCTTTTGCTATAACTAAGTACATATGCTTATAGTAAAAATATCATAGGAATCTACCTCACCCATTATACACCTAAGTTATCACTATTTAATCATTAACACTCTATCCCCTGAGTGTCATTATGCATAATTCCTATCTTTACATTTCCCTTGCTCTAGCCATGCTGGTATGTTGATTGATAGATATACTTTTATTATCCAATAAATCTTTATTTCATTGTTTCCCAGTCGTAAAATATAAATAACGATACCTAGAATACTTCCGGTGAAATGCTACAATGGTAGTTTGTGCGCTTGCAGAATCCTTAATATTATATTTGCACTCAGAACCGTCAACACCCTACCCGTGTCCAACCCAAGTCCAGATGCTGCCCACCCAGTCCAATCTAGACTCCAGACCTTTTAGTAGCCATTTCAGACTTCTGAATCAAACTTTTAAAAGGTCTTATAGTGACTTTGGGTTATCAGAAAATAGGTTCAGAAGGGCAAAAATATATATTTAATTGGTTGTCTATGATGTCTCAAAAATGGGCAATTCATCTAGCGCTTTGCCTTTGTTGAAGAATGAAGCCATCTGCATCTTTTTTGACTCGCCTTTGTTTTCTGTACCTGTTGATTGAAGATGCGTCCATGGATTCATCGAGCTACTAGCAGCACCTTGGCCACGGGTAGCATTCGTCGAGATATGACCATACGGGTGTGGAGGTTGGACTATTGATGGAAAGCAGCTAGGGTACGAGAAGGGTGGATTTGCAAAATTTACATCTTACAGATGGATGCTGGCAACACGTTGTACGTGCCCTTAATGCAAAATATCACATAGCAAGCATCTCAATGAATGACAAGTCTTGAGACTATTGGCGAGTAAGAACAAAATAGCATGCGCTGGAAGCAAAAATAACCGATTGATGATGCCATTAAGATTCAAGAACATACGCTTACAAATATATCATACTAGCATACGATTATTTTTTGAAATGCAAGGTGATCAAACAAGTGAAGTGCTGACACAACTTAGAGGAGGAATTTAAAGGACACAGATGGTGGGCATGCTCTCAGCGAAAGAGAGGTACTTCATTACATTCTGTCTACAAGTTTGGAGAAGAGAATGCTCCTACTGGTTGCTATATGGATTTGGTGAGGTGAGAGAAATAATATCACCTAGTAGGCTCACGAAGGCTTCCTTTATTGCCCCGACCATTGAACTTTTTATTCTTATATCTCTACCTAACCTTTAATAAGCCTGTTCGGTTGGCTGGTTCGTATCGTTGTTGGTTCGTTTATGTGAGAGAGAAGTACTGTTGACTGGTTCATATGAACAGTATCCATGAGAGGGGGCTGGCCAGCCCAGCCAGCCAGCCAGCCCCAGCCGATCAAGCTAAATATTGAAAACTGCTTAACTTCTGCTGCTTCTGTATAAATTGGTTTATCTTCCGTTGCTTTATGAAAACTTGTTTTATAACAACTCTGATTTAGAAACTATGTGATGTATGAAATGGTTAAGAATGTTGTAAGTTTTATTCACTTATTTATGATCTTGATGAAAACATGGATAGTTTCAAGTTCTCCTTTCGGGTGTGCTCGATAGACTGGGTTTGACTTGGTTTCTCGTGTACTTAGTGTCAAATGGCTTAGTTCTTACACAGCCCACCACACCCACACCCAAATAAAAGCTTAGTTACATTTGCACCCGTTACATAAAAACACACAACGAGACATGAACAGAGACAAGCCATCTGCCTAGCAACCACTTCGAATGTGCAAAACCCTTAACGCCAGCAAGGAACCAGAGATGATATTAGCAGTTCAACTTATTGATTCCTTGTGTAATAAAAAATAATTTCCCAAAGTCAGGTGCAAAACCCTTAACGCCCAAACATTTTGCCACAACCTAGTTGGCAAAGTTTGACTTATTTAGGTTGGTGTCTGATTTTCTGCCACACATTTTGCATGTCACATTTTGATCACCTAGTACATAGGCACTATTTGTGGTTCACCACAGAAACTGTGACACACCATGCTATCACTAAAAGTTTCGCAAAGTGTGGCTTGCAATTATCAAATGTCTTGTTCTTAATTTCGAATATAGGATGGAATATGTAGCACAGAAGGAACAAATTTCACCTGATTAAACTCAAGTTCATGCTTGAAGACTTCTACACACTTGTTTTTTTATGTTGCTTATGTCATATAAATTTATTAAAAAAATACCACTTAAGCTACTAACAATAGGTCCTTTATTGACTTTGATGCACCAAGAAGTTTTTTCTTTTCTCGAATGTGCAGGGGTGTTGCGTGCCATTTCATTAAAGAAGAGGAAAGAATCCCATTCACACCCCACATACCCATGCTCTCACACCCACCAAAAATGAACCTACATACACGGCACACCTGCAATATTGCACTAAGAAGTTGATAGGAAACCTTAGGTGTTTGAGGAAACAAGTTTCTTGTCTTTGCTTATTATCTAATGCACTTCGCAAGGTGCCCTACTCACATTCAATGCTAGACAATCATCTATGGAATATAGGGCCTCCTTTGCTTCTTCCCACTATATGGGCAAGAAAGTATTGTTGTGATGAAGGTTATGGGTTTTGAGTTGCCCAATTGGTATGTAGGACTGAGAAACTTAGATGAGTGTCAATATAATTCTTAATGGTAAGAGCAATCTTGATGTAGTTTGATGCAGTAGTTAATGTGAATGTATCATATAGAGCCTAATTATATATTTAGTGTTGGAATAGTACTTCCATAAAAGATGTTAAGTTGGCAATTACAAGTTTCAAACATTTTCTACCACTATTGTTTACTTGTATTGACAATTAAAATTCTATAATTTCAGTGTACATATTTTTAAATAATTACAATCATTTCTACTTTCCAGTATAATTTGCCTTTAAAAATTTCTTTTAGATGCATTATGACTCGCATAAGCCATGTCAAATTGAACTGTATGGGTTGCACACCACATTGCTGGTTGAGTGTTGATAACCATTTGTACAACCACATTTACAACAAGGGAATTAAATAGTTAAAATCACTTGGGTGGAGATTTACTTATTAATCAAAGGGGGTTGGAATACCTATTTTTAATGCAGTTTTACAGATGTGTTGCATGTGTAGCATTCCCTTGTTAATTTGTATTGCATTCCAAATAATAAATCAAGTGCACCTTGGGCAGAATTCGGGATATAGCTCACTGCAAACGTAAAGGATTTAATTATATCTATAACCTTTCAGGTAGACGACAAACGCCACGCACGCCATATAAACACGCGCTACGCACACTATCACCTTGCCCAACACATACCAAACAAGTTGAACCGTTGAGAATTCCCCTCTTTCTCTCATGGCCATGGAGAACACTGGGCGAGGTGGTGACTTCGGGATGATCACGGCCAATCTCGAGTCCGAGAACCCGGTTGCTAATGTCGATGCCACGAATCGTGCCTCAGCGTTGATTGCTAAAGGTAAATTCCCTGAACCGCAACTTCTGTGCCACCTAATCTCTGGTCTTGCTTCCAATCTGGAGAAGCCTGACCATGAATCTGCCGTCAAGAGGAATTTTTACTTAACTCTAAAGGCAATAAGGGAGGCCATCATCAGCAACCACATGAACATGGACTCCTCAACTCGCGATAAGGCTCTCCATGCCATCTGGTGTTGTTCTATGGATGAAGGCCTTCGTTGTCTTCAAGATCATGCAAGTATGGTGAGGATGTGGACAGTTCGGGGTCAACTGGCTGCCGTCAAAATGATATGTGGCGTCTCTCGTCTCTCACCGGCAAACATCAATAACACAAGGTGTGTTGCAACCTTTGCCTCACTGATGTTGTCACCGCACACCACCGTGGTGTGTGCATGTGAAGATGCCCTGCTCTCTTTGCCCCCTATTCCAGGATTTGCATTTACCATTGCAAGAGCCTATTGCCATATTCTTATATCAATGCCACCACAATCATCACCTCAAATAAGTAGCGTGATTGCGATACTTGGTAGGCTAAACCGGATTAGTATGACCACGGTCGAGGTCGATCACCCGAGGTTTGATGACCTGGCCGTGGATGTACTAGGGTGTTTAGCAAATTGCAAACTTGTTTTTTCGAAAGAAGGTTCTGAACCTGGTGGCGGGCCTCCTCACCCCAACGAATGTCTGCGATGTGCTACGGATCCTGAATAGTGAGCTGATTATGGCAACCTCTGCTAACATCCATACCGAGTACCAACAGATGTTGGAGAAGGCGATTAGATAATGCCATATTATTTATCCGGAAAGTATCCTGGAATTCACACTAGATCCCAAATATGTTGTGTTCACTGATTGTATTCGCTACATCATGGATATCGTGAACAACAACCCCTCGTTGCGAGCCCAACTTCTGAAAGGTCTTCTGAGGACGCTCCGCCATGTCAAGTCACCACTGGTATGCGCTGCTGCTGTCTGGATCATCTCGGTCTTCTCTGAATCACTGGTAGAGGCCAATGATGCCATTGCTGCACTTTCATGCCTCTTTAAGGACCTATTGGATCCGCGTAAAATTGAGAAACAGATACTTGGAAGTGAAATGGAGGATGAATACATACTTCCTACTGAATATTATGGTGTCACTGCGCGTGGTGCACAGGGAGAGCGCCAGCAGCCATGGCTGGTGGAGATGGAGGAACTGTTATTTGTGCGCATAGGGCTCACACGACAAGCAGATGGGAGCTATGACATTGCTTCGAGTTCCAAGAGCAGTGCTAGTTCTGAATATGGGTGTCCTCATAAGCCGTCATTGGAGCTTACAGACAATCTAGCGTTCCTTGTGCATTCTGGAGATGCCCTCTTGGCAGATTTCGTGGAAAACATGCTGTCCGAGCTTGTAGTGAAGGCCGAAAGTTGCAATGAGATCATTTGAACTAATAATTTAAAGGTCTAAGGCATAATGGCTATACTGATTGATCAGCTTATTGGAACCGGTGGTGACCACCGAGTTCTCGATCTTAGAGCTGGCTTGTAGCCGGCCTGTAGCCGGCCTGGCTCGTTGCCACGAGCCTACGCTCCCACAGGTTCTAGGTCCACCAGAGCTGACAACATATAAGGCCTTATACATTCCCAACTCAAAAGACTAGCCTAATAGGTGGGGGCTTCTCCTGCCTTATATGTTGTGCCCCCACCATCGCTACACGATGTGGGACTAAACCCCAACAATCTCCCCCTTAGTCACACATCGGAGTGCCCCGCCATGACATGACGCTCGAGATTTTTTATGGGGTTTAGCTTTTTTTGACCTCGGGTACCGGCTCTGATACCAATTATTAGAACTCGGTAGTCACCACCGGTTCCAATAATTGCTTTGCTCATTCTGGAATCGTGTCAACGTGTATCAGCATATAGTTGCATTGATAGGCATAGTTTGTTTTTCATTTGAACACATGTCTATTTTGGTTGGCGTAGAATCGGATCAGGAACAAAGACTGCACGTTCTGTGGTCTGACCGCTTCATAGGGAGACTCCCCGCCATGGCTGCATGCCGTGCATGTCGCACGAGCTTCGGAAATAACGGTGCACCGTGCAGCTGTGGATCGTGGCGGGGTGAGCGGGCATGAGCCCGTTGTGTATCTTTTATTAGTCAATGAAAAGCAACAAACAAGTGCTGCACATTGTGGCGTGAAAAACCGTCTTCTGTTCTTACTCTCACGTGTGTGTGTTCGTCTTGTTCGCGGTGACCGCGGCGACTACGATCGCTGTGACCTCGCCGGAGCCCGGTGGTTGAGATCACCGGCGTTCCAACAAGTGGTATCTGTCGGTGTTTCGTATAAGCACCGGCAAGTAAATTTATAGTAATGCGTGTTAGGCTCGGATGGTGCGCTAAAGGACACAAGATTTATACTGGTTCGGGCTGAATATCCCTACGTCTAGTTTGTTGCTGCTCGTGTTATTAGCACCGTGAATGGTTCGTAGTAGGGGATACAAACGATCGAGAGAGGGACATGTCTCAAGTCTCTGATGGAAGGGTCGAAAGGAAGCCAAGAGCTTGGTAGCAGCTTGATTATGTGTGTCTGTTGCGTTCTTTTTCTCGTCCTCCTAGTTGGAGGAAGCGCATCCCCTTTTATAGATGAAGGGGACGGCTTTACAAGGGTCAGGGCTTAGGATCCGTGCTCTACCTAGCCTCTTTACCCATTCTGATGGGTGCGAAAGGAAGATAAGCGCCTACAATACTATCGATGCTTCTGTAGAATGTCAGGATGGTTACAGAATAGTGCCCTACGCAGGGTATGGGCTGGAGTACAGTGATTTTGACTTATGAACCTCGCCCAGCCTTGCTCCGCACGCTTTCTGGCTCTATGAGTCTCTATCGGAGGGACACGGAGTCGAGGTCCGGAGTAGCGCTGTGGGCAAGGTCCTTCGATTTGGTGGACCTGAGGGGTCGGGAAGCGGGCGCCGCTCCCTTGGGTCCATAATGTGGTGACGGCATGTCCATCATTCGTGGAGATTACAAATCATTTTCTGGAGTGTAGTGGTTGTCGTGTATCTTCATCGGGTCCCGTGTCTCAGAGCTAAAGGCGGTGCCTACAACTCTACAGGACGAGGAGTACGCGCCTGCAATACCTTTTAGGCTCTGCGACGCCCGGGAGGGTCTAAAGCACCTGTCCAGTCATTCCCTGGCAGTACCTTTCCTACCGGGGCGCAGGGTATGGTCCTTGACGCCATGGTTGACCCGAACGTCTTGTCTTGCACTGTACCCATCATCATGAGGGAACGGGAGAGAAGTTATCAGGTAAGATAAATCCAGCCTTTGGACATCGAACGGGGCGAGGTTCGTCCTCGGTCATCGAGCGAGGCGGAGCCCAGTCCTTATCCCTTGGGCGTGACCGAACCCACCCCTCAGGGGTCGGGCGAGGCGGAGCGTATCCCTCAGCCCTCGGGCGAGGCGGAGACTAACCTTCAGCCCTCGGGCGAGGCGGGGCTGGCCCAAAGGCGTCGGGCGAGACGAAGGCCAGCCCTTTGCCCTCGGGCGAGGCGGGGCTGGCCCAAAGGCGTCGGGCGAGACGGAGGCCAGCCCTTTGCCCTCGGGGCCCTTTGCCCTCGGGTGAGGCGGGGTTGGTCCAAAAGGCGTCGGGCGAGACGGAGGCCAGCCCTCTGCCCTCGGGCGAGGCAGGGCTGGCCCAAAGGCGTCGGGCGAGATGGAACCTAACTTTTGTCATTCGGGCAAGGAACGCAGCGGCGCCCTTGTCCGTCGAGAAGTTTTTAACGTTCGATGGTTATTGGTTTCACCTTCTGGTGTACCCTGGTATTAGGTCCCCGACAGTAGCCCCCGAGCCTCCACGTGATTCAGATAGAACCGCTTGGAGGGTGTTTTTCGATTTCGTCGGAGTCATTTTGCCCCCGAGCCTCCAGGTGATTCGGATAGAACCGCCTGGGGGGTTGTATCGGACCCTTCGTGGGTAAGGCTGAAGGACTTGGTTTTTTCGTCAACTGGATATTTTTTCGAGGGGGTCGTGGTATCCCGTTCGTGGGGATCTCATTTAGGGCTGACCTAACTGGGGCTTGACCATGGATCGAGACCCCAGTAATGCCTGCGCCCTTGATTTCGGATCGTTCGCGGACCCGCCCTCAGTTGGGCCGGCCGCCGAGCTTCTGGGCCCTAGGCGGGCCAAAATAGAAAAAATCTTTGTGACCTGCCTTCCCTAGGTGGGAAGAGAGTCCAGATTCGCCTGGGGAAGGCGAACCGTCCACCGTGATTCTCGATGGGAAAGGATAGGGACCACGGGCGCGTGTCCCGCAACGTGACGCGGCGGTGCGTGTGGTAGGCCCGGAGATCGAGGCGGACGGTTGCCCTTCTCACGCCCGTCGCCCCTATAAAACCACGGGGTTTGCCCCCAAGGTTCCGTATTTTGCCCCCTTGCCTTTGCGTCTGAGCCATCCGCCGCCAATCGCCCCAGCCTCCTGCACTCGCACCGCCACCATTGAACGGCTTGCGTCCATGTTGCAGCCACCGTCAAGCTTGCGCCTGTCCTGTAGCTGCCATCGAGCTTGCGCCCACCTTCTCCCCAATCGCTTTAATGGATTTATGGGGCAGATCTAGCATCACCTCTCGGCGTTTGGAGGGCCTCGTCCACCGTGGCCTTCTCCATCCATTGTCCGCCGTCCAGGAGTGGCTGATACCTGTTGACGAGGGTGAGCCGGCGCCACCCGAAGGGTATGTCGTATCTTTCACCATCTTTCATGCGCAGGGATTTGCAGTACCTACGCATAGATTCCTTCGGGGGCTACTGGATTACTATGAGGTGGAGCTGCAGCATCTTACTCCCAACGGGGTTCAGCATATGGCGGCGTTTGTTGCCCTGTGTGAGGGTTTCCTGGGGATCGATCCCCACTTTGATTTGTGGCGGTATTTCTTTACCATCAGTTTGTCGAAGAGGAAGATTGGGGGGAAGGATGTGAGCGTGCCGATGGGATGCGTCAGTGTTCATCTGCGCCATACCCGGTCGAGGGGTTATCCGTTCATGCGTCTGGCGACGTCTAACAAGGGATGGCACTCGCAGTGGTTTTATGTCAGGGATGATGTGAGTGCCACCCTGCCGAGGTACACCGGGCGCCTTATCGAAGAGGCTCCGGGGTCGTGGGGCTGGGGCGTCCAGTCCAAAGACAAGAAGCACCTTTTCGACCTTCTTTCTGCCCTCCAAGCTCTGAAGGAACGGGGCGTAAAGGGGACAAGAATTATCAGTGCCTATCATACGAGGAGGGTGGCGCCGCTGATGATGCGCACGCTTCCCCTGCACCGGATGATGCCCGGGATATCGTTCGAGGGGACGGTGCTTGTTGACGAGGCGCTCCCCTTCTCGGAGGTGGCGCAACACATAAAGGAGGCGATGGAGCCGACGAAGGATTCCAAAGGCGGCGTCCTCGACATTGTGTATCCGGTGCCCGGACATCCCCCAATGCGACCGGAACCTGGGTTCTTCAAATTTGTAAGCCTTCTTCTCTCGTGCTCTTTCTTTTTCCTGAATCTTCATCTTTTTTGATACTTGCTTTTGCGACATTGGGACCAGCCGAGGGGGCTAGTCTTCAAAGATAGTCCGGTTCCGCCACCAAAGGACAAGCCTGTGGCGGCGGCGAATCGCCTCGCGGCCGAGCGGGACAAGAAGGCAAGGGAGCAGATGAAGAAGGAGAGACGACTGAACCAAGAAGCACAGGATCGGGGAGAGGACATGAGCAGTGATGATGACGACGACGACAATGATGATGACGACGAGGTACTCGTCGACTTGGATTGGGGCGTCCTGGAGGACGAGGACACGCTGACAAGTGCCCGCCCGTCCGTGCAGGGACCCTTCCCGTTCCATGTGGAGGGAAGTGAGTCGGTGAGGTCGGTGGAGGCCGGAGAGTCCACCACTTCGCACGGCATGCGGGCCGAGGATCGGTGGATGGGGGAAAGCGGGTCTGCCGCCGCTGACCCCGAGGTGATGGTCGAGAGGGGCGGTGCTGGTGCCGCGCCCCATCAGATGATGGAGGGGAGCGGCTCTGGTGCCGTGCCCCACGAGGTGATGGAGATGAGCCCCCCTGCCTCGGAGCAGGGGGCAGGCTCGAAACGGTCCTGCCTAGACGAGTCGGGGCAGGGATCTGGGGATCCATCCCCAAAACGCTTCCGCTGGCAGAGGGCGTCAGCGTAAGCTACTGATTCCCCTATTTTCATCCTTTTTCCATTTCTATTTTGACCTAATGGCTATTCCCTTTGTGTAGGTTCTTGCGGACGGGTCACCCCCTAGGGCTGGCGCCCAAAAAGAGCCTCACCATTTAGGCGGGACGGATGGTGCTGCTCGGCGTCGCCCCTATTTCGGGCAGGAGCGGTGCCGATGTTGGGGCTACGCTGGCCGATCTGACGGCGCCTGTGTTGGCGCCCGCACCCTCGGT